ATTTGATTTTTGAGCAGATGTTTGAGTTTGTCATCATGATCTTCTAGGGTTTTGATCGTCTTCGACATGTCACTTGCATAATTGGAATCGAGTACTCCAAACAGGGAACTTGCTATATTCCCAACTAAATCGATTGCCCCTCTCTTATTTCGGGCGCTTGACATAAATTCAAATGCTGTTCTCAATTCACTTTCTGCTTGCTGGAAATGATGAACCACAAACTTGCATGTTGAATTTAAGTTGCTTTGATCACATAGCTTCAAAAGATTCAACGTTGAATCCTTTAGTATGTCCAGCTCTGTATTAAATGGAGCTAAATCGTAATAGATTATCATTTTCCAGTGGGATGTTATCAATTTTGTTGTTCCTACTTGTTCAAAATGTAGGCCAGGAGCGGAGCGAAGTTCAGTTACGTTTACTGGTGAACAAAGAACAATCGGGAGTAAAAGTAGAGATATCAGTACTGTAGTTAATTTTATATTGGAGGACACACGTCTTTGTTTTCGTGGGACTATCTCATTGTCCATTCGTTCTTCTTTGTTATGGCGATTCTCCTGTGTTTTAATAGGTTTGTTTTCAGGAAATAAGGGGGCTAGTTTGTGAATTGGTCGCTTTAACATGCCTGTTGCGGTTTTGACATCTACGACTCGTATAAATCCATCATTACCCTTATATGTCTTCATTATTCGCCCTAAAGGCCATTGCAAAGGTTGTACATTATCTTCTTTAAGGATCACCAGTGTATTTTCTTCAATGTTTTTGCATTCTTCACGCCACTTGTTTCGAACCTGTAGTTCCATTAGGTACTCTGCCCGCCATCTTTTCCAAAACTCTTGTTTTAAGTGTGCAACCAGATTCCATCTATTCAAAAGAGATGATTTTACCTTTTCACATGTTGCGTCTACGGGTGCTGTTAGTGCATCACCAACTAAGAAATGACCTGGTGTGAGAGCCTGCAAATCATTTGGATTAGACGACATTGGTGTTAAAGGTCGTGAGTTTAAAATAGCTTCTATTTCTATAATGACGGTTTCGAGTTCCTCGTACGTTAACGTTTCAGTTGAAACGCTTCGGACCAATAGGTACTTTGCTGATTTAACCGCTGCTTCCCATAGTCCATCAAAATGAGGTGCACGAGGAGGGATGAAGTGAAATGCTATTCCCTTGTTGCTGCAAGTTTTTGTTATTTGTTCCTGAGCTACATTGGAATGGATTGTTGTTGTTAATTCCTGCAACTTGTTAGAGGCACCGACAAAATTCGTTGCATTGTCACAGTATATATTTTGGCAGCATCCGCGTCGTGCGATAAAACGTTTTAATGATCCGATAAATGCTTCTGTTGTCAAGTCGCTTACCAGTTCCAAGTGTACTGCCTTTGTCGCAAAACAACAATAAACTGCTAGGTATGCCTTATGCGCACGTTTTCCTCTCACCTTATAATGCACCCAAAAAGGCCCACAGAAGTCAACTCCGGTATTAAAAAATGGCCTGTTTGGCTGTACTCGATGCCTTGGTAAACTTCCCATGACTTGTTCAAAAGTAACTGGTTTACATCTAGTACAACGAACACAATGGTGAATAGTTGATCTTGCCATAATTTTACCCTTGATCGGCCAAAATTTTTGTCTCGCTGCTGCCAGCAGTGCTTGACCGCCGCAGTGTATATTTCGTTCATGTATGTCTTTCATTATCAGTTTTACAATAGGGTTATTGTATGGAAGGACTATCTGATGCTTTTCATCATATGTAAGTGATGATGCTTCTAACCTTCCCCCCACGCGAATTATCTTGTGTTCATCTAAAAATGGCATCAGTCCAGCAAGTGTACTTGCAGGTTTTACTGTTTGGTTGCGTTCTAACTGAATTAATTCTTCTTTTAGTTCTGACTGTTGTATGTACTTCACTATATGCCTGAGTGACAGCTCCAGTTCCATAGGGCTTAGAGCCATAGTGATATTGCTTAAATTGGTTCGCCTTGCCCGATTTACAAATCGCAGCATATATCCTACCGTATGTAGTAGAGTTCTAAATGAATTCCTGTGATTGATTCTATCGATCCAATGGATATCGTAATCAGTTGAGATTAAGGCCACTTCCCTTGTCGTTTGTTTCCATTCAGGATTCACCGGATCAATACAGAGAGTTTTATTGAATTTGCCAGGCCAGTTGCTTTCGGAACCATGAAGAAAGAGTGGACCGTATAACCACAAGTTATTTTCGAGTAATTGAGCTGGCTTGATACCCCGTGATAATGAGTCAGCTGGGTTGTCCTTAGATCTTACGTGACGCCATTGATTAGGCAAGCTAATTTCCTGAATTGCATTGATTCTATTTGCTATGAATTGTTGATGCCTTGCTGATGAAGAATTGATCCAGAAGAGAACGATTTCTGAATCAGTCCAATAATATGTTGCTACGTCATGATTTATATTGTTCTTAACCTTTTTCATCAATGTCGCTCCTAATAGAGCTGAACACAGTTCTAACCTTGGAATCGTTTGTTTTTTGAGTGGAGCAACACGAGACTTGGAACACAACAATCGATTTATTAGTCGACCATCCATTAGTTTCGCTCGAACATAGACTGCGGCTCCGTATGCCTTTTGTGAAGCATCACAAAATACGTGCAATTGTATTGATTCAAGTGCTGGCATCTGTTTTCCGAATATATGACGATCTTTTTTAAATTGATCTAGTACTTGTAGATCGTCATAAAAGGTAGTCCACCTAGTGTATATTTCGGTTGGTACTGCTTCGTCCCATGTTAATTGTAGTTGCCATAGGTCCTGAATTAGTATTTTTGCTGTTACGAGTACTGGACCTAGTAGTCCCAATGGGTCGAAAATTTTGGCTAGGTTCGAAGTAATGGTTCTTTTAGTAATGATTTTTAGTGGATCCAGTTTTAATTTTATGCGAAATTGATCTTCTTTTGGTTGCCAAGTCAATCCTAATGTTTTGATTGATGTTGCGTCGTCACTTTGAAAGTCCAAATCAACTTCTTGATCTTCTTTTGCAATATTTTGAAGAAGTGACGGATGGTTGGCACACCATTTACGTAGCTTGAATCCTGCTGATTCCAACAAACCTTTTAACTGAGTTTGTATATCTTTGGCAGTTTGGAGACTATTTGATCCACTTAGGCAATCATCTACGTAGAAGTCATTACTTAGTGCTGCTGCACCTAGTGGATATTTTTGCAACTCAGATTTCGCCAACTGTTGTAAGCATTTAGTAGCCAGATATGGGGCTGATCGTGTTCCATAGGTGACTGTTTTTAATCGATAAAATTGTAAGGGTTCGTTATTATTGCTTCTCCAGACTATTGATATCTTTGATATCTTTGATCTTCGGGCTGAATAATAATTTGTCTGTACATTTTTTGAATGTCAGAACAAAAGACAAATCTTGGGCACCTGAATCGAAGTAAAATCGCAAACAATTCCTCTTGAATTGTAGGGCCAGTAAACATTGTATCATTTAACGATAGTCCACTACTCGTCTTGCACGATGCATCAAATACCACTCTTAATTTCGTGGTGCTGCTATCGGGCCGTAAAACGCCATGATGTGGGATGACATAATGAGGATTGACTTGGTTGATGTCAACCCTTTCCATGTGTCCGAGATCAGCATATTCATTCATGAACTGTACATACTGTGTTTTGAGTATTACATCCTTATCGAGTCTTCTTTCCAACGCTAAAAACCTGTTAATGGCAATGTGTTTTGACTCACCAAGCAACGATGGATCTTGCTTGAAGGGTAATCTGACACTGAATCGACCGTCTTGATTCCTTTTCATATAAGTTGCAAAATGAGACTCGCACAACTCTTCGGAAGGAGACAGATTTTTGTTTGCCTTTTCTGGTTCATCCAGTTGCCAGAACCGCTCGATAACCTTCATCGTATCTTGCTCATCTTCAGAGCATATTCCACAAACTTGTGGTGAAATAATTGAATTTTGGTTAGATAATTTTCCCACCACAAGCCACCCAAGCAATGTGTTCTGTAGGATGGGGAGACCTCTGCCAAGGTTTATTTGGCCGATGGACAATAGTTGATGAGAAAACTCAGCTCCAAGTAGGAGATCGATTTTGTTTGGGGTATTGAACGACGGATCTGCCAGATTGATGTTCTGTGGTATTTTCCAGCTTGAGCTTTCAATATGAATGCTCGGCTGGTCACACACAATCTTAGGTAATACATAAGCCTCTATTCGGCTGCTAAATCCGTTAATTCTGGACGAGAAAGCTAAATTGATTCGTTGTTGCGCATCTTGTTTTTTTTTTGCCCCACACCTTCTATACATGCTGAGGTCTTTTTCGGGTTTTCACCTAACTTCTTAATTATTTGATCGGTTATCAGGTTGACTTGGGAGCCGGAATCCAATAATGCTCTGCACTCAATTTCTCTTCCATTGTTGCCTTTAACGACAACACGTGCAGTTCCTAATACCACATAATTTTTTTGGATGTTGAGATTGTTGGAGAACAGAGAAGCAGGATTTTTTGATAATGATGCCTTCTTAATCATGGATGCTTCAAGTGTGCCTTCTAAATGCAGCAGGGTGTTGTGTTTCTTGCTGCATTTTAAGCAACTGCCTGATGTGCAGTCTTTTGTGAAGTGACCATTTTTTAGACAATTGAAACATCGTTGCAATGATTTTATGAGATGTAGCCTCTTAGCTGGGGTGTCATCCAGGAACTGCTTGCATAGATGAATTGGATGATTATCTCTCTTGCATATTGGACATTTAACTGGTGCAGTGTTAGTTGTAGCCACTGTCTTAACCCATTTTTTAATTGATGCGCTATTATTTATTGTTTCTAGCGATTGGAACCTTTGTTCAATAAATTGAAATAGTTCCTTCATAGTGATCAGCTCTCGATTGTTTGATAATGACTGCTCAAATGCTGTTTGTGTGATCTTGTCTAATTTCTTCAACGTCATATGAACAATTATGACGTCCCAATGTTCGACTGGAATGTTCTGCGCCTTAAGTCCCAATAAACACTCTTGTGAAATGTCATGCAATGTTTTAAGGCCAGAAGCGGTTTCAGTTGTCATTGCTGGTAATGCGAATAATTTGTTTAACAATGCGGTAACTAATAATCTACCATTATTGTATCTAGCCTTCAGAATCTCCCATGCGGTAATGTAGTTCTCAGCTGATGCTGGCAAATGCTTTATCAGGTTTTTGGGCTCACCAATCAAGTTAGTTGTTAAGTAGAACATCTTTTGGATAGGTTTGAATGGTTGTTCGTCTATAAGTTGTGTAAACAGGTCTCGAAACTCTACCCACTTCAGCTGGTTTCCGTCAAATATTGGAATTGTTAACTGTGGTAATTTTACTGCCTGAATTGTTGAATCGTGCTGGTAGTGAGAATTGAATGATTTTAGCTTGAGTTTCAAGCAAATCTCCATGTCTTGGAGTTTTTGACTAATTTCATAATACAATTCCCAGGAGTACCCTTCAATGAATTCTTCTGATGTAGAATTCCATATTTTTTCATTGTTGTTATCGAATGCTTTGTGATAACCTTCTATCAAAGCAAGCTTGCAAGAATAAAAAACTTCATTTTGAGATTCTTGGCTTGCCATTTCAATTTCTTGACTGGATCTGTCAATGACATTTATGAGTGCTCGTTGATTACGCAACACTCTTGATATTTCTTCATTTTGTTGAAGCTGCATTGGATTTTGATTGTGTTGCCTTGGCGGCTTTTCCTGAGCATTTTCTACCTCTTGCATTTCGATTAATGCCTTGTTAAAAATACCCAAGTATTTGTTTGTCAATTCAGTCATTTTTTCATAGTAGCCCGTGGTGAAATACTCGTCTTCTGTATCTTCAGCCATAGCTTTACAAGATAATAACGTGTTGTGGTTCTTCTCTAACCTTGACCATTGTTCAGTTAACCGTAGAATTCTATCCTGATAATAGCGATTCGTCTTCCTTGAGGCTGGATCCTTCTTGAAGTTGCTGATTATCCTCTCGATCTCAGCTCCTATAGCTTGTTGTTGATCAATAAGTGTGTTGAAATGCTCCATGATAATGCCGTTCCTATTTATTGTCCTTATAGGAAAATCACGTCGGGGTCACCAAAAATATGTTGAGAATGCTTTTATTCTCAAGGTTCTATCAATTTGTATTTGTATACCGGAATTCCACCAAGCACATGTAACTTGTTGGACGGTATATTTGTATACTTTTTATATTCTTGAAGATACCACCGAGCACATAAACCCGTTGGTAATTTTATGAAAAGAAGATAAGTTCTATTCAAATTTGTATCATCGAATACACTTTATTAAAAGAATTGATTTATTTATATACATTTTTCTTATAATAATTACTTACTAAAACTTATTACGTACAATAATTTACTGACCCAATTTAAATTAATATCAAGCAAAAAATATTACTTATAATGACACATAAAATATTCAGCAAAACAATAAATAATTAATAGCAAGCAAATTACATAACATATTTAGCAAACAATGAATAATAAATTATTTAAAATGTGTTCTTGCCCTAGTTATAAAATAAACACTAATCAGCAAAAATATAACCTATTAATATATTACGATTACGTTAAATGCATTTTATCATGGGTCAGCAAAAGACAAAATAAATGTAATACTTAACAACTCTCTTTCCAGAATAGGTTTAGAGGAAGAGCTTAAAAATTGGATAGTAACTATGCTTAAAACAAGGATTATTCAATCAAAGTTAAGCAGCATAACACAAACGAAGCACGTCAGCAGGGGTACGCCACAAGGAAGGGTTATTTCACCATTACTGTGGCTGCTGGTCGTGGATAATATTCTTAATACTCTAGATAAGATAGGTGTGAAAGCAGTAGCGTACGCGGATGACGTGGTTATTCTAGTGTCAGGTATGTTCCCTAACATAATTAGCGACATTATGGAAAGGGCCTTGGTTAAGATAAGTACCTGGACCACAGGTTGTGGACTAGGTATTAACCCAGGAAAAACTGAAATGATGCTGTTTACTACTAAAACCAACTTTCAGGTTGCCTTCACTAAACGGGCAACAGTTAAAACTATCGGAAAAAGCCAAATATCTAGGAATTCTGTTGGATAGTAAGTTAAACTGGAAACACAATGTCGATCTTCGTATCAAGAAGGCATGTGTAGCTTTCTATTCTTGCAAGAGGATGTTTGGCAAAAAATGGGGGATTCGTCCCGAAATTACCCACTGGATGTACACGGCAATTGTACGACCAATTCTCACGTATGGTGCTGTCGTATGGTGGCCGGCTCTAAACAAGAGCTATAATATCGACAAACTTAACAGAATTCAGAGGACGGCATGTGTAGGCATCACGGAGCTTTTAGGACGACTCCTTCGGACGCCCTAAATGTGATGCTGCATTTGCTACCTATTGATCTTCACATTAAAAACATGGTTTGTAATAGCGCTGTAAGACTGAAAGTAACAGGCGTATGGTTAGAACGAACATATGGACATAGTCGGATTCTAGGTACAGTGCCAAATTGTCTGTGTAGGATGACATCGGATTATCTGAATCCGTGTATAGACTTCGAAAGGAACTTCCAGACAATATTCCCTTCAAGAAATGAGTGGAAAAGGAAAAATTTCGAAGCAAATTACGATATCTCAATATATACAGATGGCTCGAAAATGAGCGGTGGGGCAGGAGCAGGAATCTTCGCACCTTCTAAAAATATAAATATCTCTCTTAGGATACCTAATGAAGCTACGGTTTTTCAGGCTGAAATCCTAGCAATAAAAGAAGCCTGTCGGCAAATTGCAAGCCACATCGAGAACAGATGTAGTGTTGCTATTTTTATTGACAGCCAGGCAGCAATTAAAGCTCTTGAATCCTATATAACAAAATCAAAAATAGTAAAAGAATGTAGAGAAGCAATCGACGAGCTAAACCG